AACAACAAGTAGCATTCAAAGCACACCATTCATCAGTGTTAATATCCTTAGTAATCTAAAGAAGCTAGTTTGTGTTAATGCCTGTGTAAGTGTGTGGGTGTGTGTTACTTTGTGTGTGTGTGTGTGTGTGGAAAACTGATTGGTTTTAGTATTCGTTTACCTTGCAGAGAGATATGAGTTTTAGTTGAAGTGTCCATTGAATGCCAAGTTTGATAAGAGGGTTCATTAGTTAATTTATTGCTTGTTCTTGCCATTGTTCTATCGATATTACAATTTCAACTAATTATTATTGTTGTTGTTGTTGTCGTCGTAATTTCTAAACCTGATGATGATGATGAAGGAAGGACATCATTGTTGTGGTTAAGAGGTTTTTGTTCCGAATGGTGTATTTACTTACAAGCTTGTCATTAGTGCGCATGAAAATCTAATTAAATATTATCCCATCTTTTCAATATTCATGAAACAATCTGAAATAAATGGTAATTATGATTACAATAATTTTAAACGAAATTCATATACGATCGATTGATATTGGGATGTACTTAAAAAAGTAAGAAGTTACCCTCGGCATATTATCACTTACATACGCATACATAATATGTACGATTTTTATACCCTACAACACTATGTGTAAGGGGTATTATAAGTTTGATTGGGCCAAAAATTATGTAAAACCTCGAAATAATCGTTTCCCACATAGGAAAGTATATGTGGATCTTCCTATCTTGCGGAGCTGAGTCGATCTAGCTATGTATGTCCGTCCGCCCGCGTGTTCATGTTAATTTGTAATCACGCTACGGGTCACAATTATGGCACGATCCTCACGAAAATTTGGATGGAGGTTGGGTTATAGTCAGGATAGAAGCCTATTTCTTTAGGAGATAAACGCAAGTTGGCATGGGGTTGGTCAGAAGCCTTCCAATTTGGATGATCATCGGGTAATATTTAGTGGGTGAAATAGGCCATAACATTTGTGTTAAATAAAAGTAATATTTTCCATTAAACCTCGAATCCGTTGAAATCACAAATAGACGAAAAGGTCCATTCTGACCGTTACTTAAATGCCGATAGTAAATATTTCGGATATATATAGCGAAATATATACAATGTGTATATACAAAGGAAATGGATGTTAGCTAGAATGCTTATATCTCAAGAACGGCTGGTCCGATTTTGGCAAATTTTGTCATAAAAGTATAATATCTAAAAAAATCGCATAAAAAGATGTCAATTATGATGTTAATATAGATTTTGTTGTATTTATTGATACTTTTCTTATTTTTTCATATTTTTTATCGCATGTGATTTTTTCCATTTGACTTATAGTATTGAGCATACATTTTGTAATATTTTTTCAACTTACAACACAGGTTGGGGTTAATATATACAGATTGCAATTATCGTCCAATCCTCACGAAAATTTTCATAAGGGCTCAGAAGGGCTAGACCTATTGTTTTTAAAGATGTCCGCGATATATTTAGGGGTTGAAATGGACCAACAAATAAAAATTTTCCTGATTTTGCAGCCGTTCGCGTATGAACTTAGAGTTGAGGACAGCGGATAGAATGGTACACTACTTTTGTGTAAAAAAAAATACCAACATTTCCATTCTACCAAAACGCCGAAAATACCTTGCAGGCGAAATCCAAAATGCACAAATGGAAAACTTATGACTTTATAATTCTGATTTCGTTGCCCAATATAGCCAAATATCGTAGATAAGGAAATCATATAGATTTTTTTGATTTTGCTTTTGGAGATGATCGCAAAATATTTAGAGGCTCAAATCAACTAAAAACAGAAAAAAATCCTGATCACACAATTGAAAGCAATCGGCTCGGAATTTTGCATGAGAAGAGAGTGAAGGACAGCGATGAAGTCTAGTATTTTGGATGACCATTAGATTATATTTAGCTGTAAAATGGGCCATACCAACTAACAGCATGCGGGAATGCGTAAATATTGGGCAAATGTTCCTGGTCAAAATGCTAAGGGTAATACCTGCTCAGTACTCTATGATATTATTTCAAATGCGAAATCTTCCAAAATCGATTTGTATATAAGGGGCTTCTAACATATTGTAGTGTTGTAAGGTATGACATGGTCGGCCCCGCATTACAGGGTGAGATAAAAAACTGCAACAAAGTAAAACGCCATAATTTTTACATGTTTTTTTAAAGTTATTGAATGAAAGCAAACAATTTAGGAAATACCATCAAATTTTAGAATAAGTTTAAATTTGTTCGACTTGGTCACCCTTGGCATGAGTTATGGCCTTCAAACGGCCAATGAAACCCCCACACGCTGCCCGAATGTTGCTCTGCGGTATTTCGACCCATTCCCGGCGAAGCGCTTGCTTCAGGTGATCGACACTTTGGTATTTTTTAGTGCCAACCTTGCTTTCCAAAATATTCCAAACAAAATAGTCCAACGGATTGGTGTCCGAAGATTTTGGTGGCCATTGTGCGCTCGAAATGAAGCGACGAACCTCATTTTGTAACCATTCTTGGGTGGCGCGTGATGAGTGCGATGGTGCTGAGTCCTCTTGGAATGTCCAAGGTCTGCGGCCAAAATGTTTGCGTACCCAAGGCTTTAATACACCCTCCAGAATATTTTCGCAATAATATTCGGCATTAATTCTGATGCCACGGTCGGTTAATACGAGCGGAGAGAGACCATCGGCTGTTATGGCGGCCCACACCATCACCATGGCAGGCGCATGAGTTCTGGTGGCCAACAGAAGGTGCACATTTTCAGCTGACCTCTTTGCCAAGTAAACACGATCATTTTGTTTGTTTGCAACGAATGCTTTTTCATCGGAGAAAACCAAATTCGGCAGTTCACCACTTTCGGCCAAGCGAAGCAACTCTTTAGCTCATTTGAGTCTATTTTCTTCTGTTGTTTGTTTTGGAATTTCAATGGCTTCCGTCCACTTCCTTCACGTCGGGCCACACTACCAGCATCACGACAACGAGCGATGGTACGAGACACAAAAGATTTATACACATTTAAATGCTGGAGTGCTCTAACGGTAGCTACTTGTGGTTTTCCAGCCAAAAATAAAGAAATCACACTATCACGCTTGAATTCTATCACGAATAACTTTTTTTCTAGAAAATTCTCACCAAAATGCTATTGTACGCTTGTAAAAAATAAAACGAACTGTCACTGGAATAATTTTAACAGCTGTCGGACGAGTGGCTTAGAAATGACATCAGTCTGAAGTTTGTTGCAGTTTTTTTATCTCACCCACTTGATATGGAATTTTTAATTTTTAGTACTAAAACTAGCGAAATCACAAATACATGAATGTTCCTTGGGAAAGATCTAATTTGCTACAAATTTTAGTGATATAGGGTATCATACGGTCGACTATAGTCATTGTTTACCTATGTCAGCTATTACTTTTTGGTCCAATCAAACTAAAAATAGAGTTGTATGGTCCTTCAAAGCCCGAAAGTTGTGGAAAATGATTATTTCTAAACTCCTCCAAGGCCCAAAAGATGTGGACTTTTTTAATATTTTTTTTTTAAACTCCTTCCAGGCCTAAAGGTATGGATTCTTTAAAGATTTTTTCAAGACTCCTCAAAGGCCCCAAAGGCGTGGATACCTCAAAGATTTTTTCAAGACTCTTTCAAGGCCCTTTTTTAACATTTTTCAAGATTTTTCCAAAGGGGAAAAAGTTATCATAATTCTGTATCTCCAAGAGGTCAATTAAAGTATCGGATAAAATGTCGTTTATAATCAGAGCATTCGCGTTTAATCAAACTGTTAAACAATCACTTGGCATTTTATTTTGGGCCATTGACGCATTACACTTCAGCACTTAACCTTTGATACATAAGTAATTTGTAGGAGTGTATGCATGAACATACATACATACGTCTGTATGTGTGTGCGTTTGTATTTTAAGTTTGTGTTATAAATAAATTGATTGATTTAAAATTGTTTTCTGCAAAGCCAATTTATATCTCTTACAGAAGAGTTGTGATGAAAGACACTTTATGGAAAAAATCTGCCTGCTGTTTTTTTTTAGCCGGCGCTTAAAAACGCCACTGGCCACTAAAGGATTTATCTGTTTGCTGGCACTTAACAGTACCAAAGCAATTTCCTTTTAGAGCACTATAGAGTGCTCGAATAAAAGACTTGTAGTTTTCTTTATGCCGACAGATCGGCAGATAAAACTTGATTAATTTTTATTACAAAAATGTCCTACATATATACATAAATAACGGGATTTTACTTATTTTCTATTATCTTATAAACTATTATCCTTAATTGTAAACAATAAAACAAATGCTAAATTACAGCTGATAAATTACAGCTGATCTATCATGTGATATTTTGGGATCTCTAGGTGCGCGTATCGATAACAGTCGATTACACTACAGAGTAAATAATAAATTGGTATGTGTGTATGTAGGTATTGCATTTGTATGTAATCAAAAGAAATCACGAATCAATCAAAGGGCGAAGGGTCAAAGGAAATTGAACTGAAAACTTCATAGCTCTCAGGGTTTTGTGAATGAATGAAATTGAAATACATATTTTGCAGAAAATGAGTTAGAAATTTTGCATTTATGGAAAAGAATACATTTTGAGTGAGTTACGTTTTGCAGAAATGGGCTGTAAAGAAACCACCCTTAGACCAGCGAGAGAGAGAGAGAGAGCCACACAAAATTTAAATGAATGAATGAATGTTTGATGCAAGGTAGCTCTGAGATTTATAGATTTGTTGCCCACCCAAACCATTGCGAAAAACAGGGTTTGAAGAAAATAATGGTGCCAAAGTGAGGGTATGGCTTAGGCTACATCATGGTAAAGCAACATCGCTGCTGGTGATGGTGGTGAGTCCTTTTTTGTGTGTTGAGTGCCTGTGTGTGTGTGCGCGCACCCCTCTCTGGTGGTGTTGTTAAATGCGAGCACACCATCGTTCTAAAGTGTGTTAGAGGAATTGTGGAAAACCATCCATTTTTTTTGCTTTGGACTAAAAGAATTTTTAACCAACCACCTTAGATTCAGTTGTGTTTCAAACACAAACAGACAAACACGTCACCCAGCCAACGCTCCGTGTTTCAAAACGCTCGAACCGATCGAATAGCAAATTTCATTTCGAAGGCAAAGAGAGGTTAAATTGTCAAAAAACAAATAGCGAAGTAGAAAAAAAAAAACAATTATTTTTTTATAGAACAAAAAATAAAATCGAAATCACACACATACCAAAAGAGTACTCAAAGAAATCACCAGCAGCAAGGATACATTCGTTGTCGTCGTCCTGGCAGAACTTTAGTTTTTTCTGGTTTTTTTTCTGCCAATGTGTTAATGTAAATGTGTCGTCGTCGTCGTTGTCCTCCAGTGCGAGTGTGTCTGTCTGTTTGTCCGTGGTGTTGTGTTGTATATTTTTTTATTCATCGTTAAGCGAGTAGACAGTAAACGTTTGTTAACGGTTGCGGACACACAACAAAGGATATGAACGATTTAAATGTAAAACGTTGATGATCGTGAAAGGACGTACTTTTTTTGCGGATGAATAGAAAATTTTCCAAATTTCACAAAAATCAAGTTGGAGAGAAGAAACCAAGCCATAAACCACAATAAAGGTTTACAATAACAACAACAATAAGATAATAATTTTAAAAATCAAGTGTTTTCTCAAAGAATATTAAAAACAATGAGAAAATTGTGAAAAAAATTTATGAAAAGTTAACAAGTGAAAAGAAAAACATTAAATTTTTTAGGAAATAATTTCAAATCCCTGAAACCAAAAATAAAAAAAAAATATAAACATGTCTTCCTCGGAACACGAAGTCGATATCAGTGTTGTCTCCAGCCCCGAACCCAGTCCCATGGGCTGTGGTGGCCAGGAGGGTCGTGACTCGCCACTAAGATCCTCATCTCCGGCCCGTTCACCGGGCGCCTCCACACCAAATTCCATGCACACACCCACCTCGGCAGCCGGTACACCTACCTCTTCCAGCCACAATTACCAGCCATCAGCCCACAGCCATCAGCAGCATTCACAACATCACAGCAGCCCCACCAGCTCCGCCGCCATGGCCACCGCAGTACCGCCAACAGTTCTCCACCATCATTTACAGCATCATCTGAACTCCCTGAATGCCGGTCATCATCCAGTCGCCTTACATCATGCCTTGCATGCCAGTTTTGGCCATCTAACACATCCGGCTCATCAGCATTTGTTGCAACAACATCCGGCCACGGTTACACCGACTGTCGTCTCACATTTTGCCGCCGCGGCTGCTGCCTCATCGGCAAACAATGTCAATGTTGGGGACCGTTTAAGTCCACCCTCGATGGCGGCCCATGGAGCCCCTAAATCGCCCGAATCGACCACAACAGAGGAATCACAAAACAATAACAACAACAATATTAAAATGCTTAACAACAATAATACAACAACAGCAAATGGTGATAATAGTGGCGGCAGTGATCAAGCCGGCGGAGCGGCGGCTAATGGAAAGGTTACATCGGGCAATGGTTTTACCAGCTTTTCAATTTCATCGATTTTGAGCCGCAATGAGCCGTCGAAAAAGAACGGTTCTAATTTAATAACACCCATACCTCAGTTACCGCCGGCCACCGTAGGTGCCGGTGGGCCACAGGATGCTGCCATGTTGTCAAGGTGAGTTGAAGGAAAATGTTTTGGTTTTTTTTTTTAAATTTCGCGAAGTGGAAAATAAGTATTTCCAAAAAGTGTCGAAGAAGTGTCAATAAAAAAATAGGCCCAAGAAATAAAATATTGGTTTAATCGATAAAGGATGTTTTTGGCTCAAAGTGCTGGCGAAAAGGGGGTATTTAAAAAGTGCTGATTTTTTTTAAATTGGATTCTTCTATTGTTTTTTTGCTCTCAGATATTGTCTTTTCTAATGCCATGTCTCAAGATGTCGGTCATTTTTGTTGCAAGAACCGCCCCAAATTCAATAAAAAATTTACAATTTTTCAAAATTTATATTTCATTTTTAATTTTAATTTTTGTGCATTTCTCCCAAGAAAAATGTAGGGTAGAGGGAAACAAAACGCTGTAGTCATTTTTACATTCGACTTTTTAGAGGTACGCCCATGGTATAATTTTCAGTTAGCTTAATTTCAAATATTAGAAATTATAAACATTTTTAATACTTTTGGAACACTTGCTATAAGAGGTATGGACTGAGGTTTTTTACATATCCTTGTAGAAGGACTTGAGTTTATGACATCTTATTTCCAAGGAGAAAATAAGGACTCGCCAATTTTTTTTAATCCGTCTAAAAAGATATGAAACGAAAAATTTTATAGAAGTTTTCAAAATATCGAACATTCAAAAATAAAAAAAAAAAAAATATTAGAATTTCCATTTAAAAGCATTTTTAATACATTTTGAGCATTTATCTATAATTTATTTCATTTCATATTTTTCATTTATAATTTAATTTTTTAATAATAAGTTCATTGGATTTTCGGGTATGTTATTTTAAAAGACTATCTGAGCAAAGTTCTTCAAAGCATATTCCGAACGTATCTTACGAATATATTTTGAATATGTTTTGTTAAACCTGAGATTTACTGTCTACCGGAATTTTGGTGTGTATTTGACTGCTATCTTTCAAGGGACTGTCAGATATATAGATACATGCATTTTTTAATATTTTAGGCGTTATTATAATTTTGTTTCGACATATTTTTGGATGACATACAAAAAAATTAAAAAAAAACGAGAATAGAAAAAATCAAATTTATATAGTTTTTAAGAACCATCAGAGGTAAATCGAAGAAAAATCTAGATATGTTAAAAATATGTTAAAAGAACTTGGCATAGTTATTAGTATAGTATAAGGGGCCATGATAGGAAAATCAAATGTTAAGAACATAACTTATAGGTTGCTTTGTATGTTTATTGAAGGACCTGAGATTTTTTCAAACTTTATTTGAAGGACTATTAGAGATTTACGTGAGGTTTTTTGGGGCTATTTTGTTGTGGGACTCGCAAAAATATATGTCTGAATTCTTCAATATTTTATTGATTAGACGTTTTTATAATTCTTTCTTATAACTTTTTTTCTTATAACTTGTGACTTTGTTGATAAGTATCCTTCAGTTTTTTCGACAAAAATCTGTTGAAATCACGATACAGCCCACATTATTTGACGTAGAGCGCCAAAATTTAGCAGAGCTATTTGTATTGTGTCTAGAATGGTTGGTATTGAAAATGAGATATATCGGTCCACGTTCTAGTATTGTCCCCATATAACGGTAACTCCCAATATTCGGTATTTTGATGGTTTTTGCCACATTTTTTCACTGATTTGTCTAAAAATTGGTAGTTGTAGATCATAATGGGTCCCAGTTCGTGTGGCAAAACATTGCATGTATGGGTCCACGTTTTGGTATAGCCCCCATATAACGGTACCTCCCAATATTCTGTATTTTAATTTTTTGCCACATTTTTTCACGGATTTGTCTAAAAATTGGTATTTGTTGGTCATAATGGGTTCCAGCTCCGGTGGCGAAACATTGCATGCATGGGTCCATGATTTGGTATAGCCCCCATATAAAGGTACATGCCAATATTCGGTATTTTGATTATTTGTGCCACATTTTTTTAACGGATTTGTCTAACAATTGGTATTTGTGGGCCATAATGGGTGGGTCATTTTTTTTTTTTTTTTAATTTTATTGAATGAAAACAAAAAATTCGGAGATAGCATCAAATTTTAGAATAAATTTAGATTTGTTCGAATTGGTCACCTTTGGCACGAATTATGACCTTCAACCGGCCAATGAAACTGTCACACGCTGCCTGAATGTTGCTCTGCGGTATTTTGGCCCAATTTTGGCGAAGCGCTTGCTTGAGGTGCCAACCTTGCTTTCCAAAATATTTAAATATTTTCATTTTAAATTTCAAATCTAGATTGAAGCTTATTCGGTTGGAAATTGTGGATCGAACATTTAAAATACGAAAAAGCAGAGCGGGACCGATGTATATCATTTCAATAATTTTTCTGGCTAGATTAGTTCTCGCTGTGTATTAGTACTAGGGTGGAATTTTTTTGGAAGGGTATCCCTCTTCACGTTTCATAAATTTGGGACCTGTAGGGTGTAAATCCTTGAAATAATCCTTTGAGTCTATTAAAAATTGTATTCTTTACCAAATCTATTTTTGTTTCAATCACGATAACATGAACGAAGTACAGGCCTGAAGATTCTTTAGCGGTCTGGTCAAGTTCAATATGTGTCCACGTAGCCCGTAGAATTGAAATTTTGGGTGCTTTGTGGGTTTATATAATTTATACAAAAAATTTTAGACATCCGTCTATGTGGAATATTTAGGCATTGTCCAGGTTTTGGCTACATTTCAAAACGAAATAAAACGAAAGATATTTTTAAATGTTCTCTGTGGTACAACATGATTTTAAGTATTTTAACATTTGGGAACACAGTTTCCGACGGAATTAATTATAATTTTCTATTTTAATTAATTGGTCCACATTTCGATTTAGCCTCATATGAAGCCTAGTTTTGGGAAAAAATTGTAAATTTTTATATTTACCCTAAATCATTTTATAGAGGGATTTCTTTAGCCATCTTGGCCGTAACATTGGATAAAGTCGGCTCCTTTAGATTTCTGAAATGTTTTTTGGATTTCGCAAAACGATTACTTTTTTCAAAACTTAGATTAGTGTGAGAAAGTTTTAATTCAGTATTTAAGAGGAAATTCAATTAACAGCATCAAGATCTGTGGAACCGATAAATTTCTACATTATTAACAAATAATTTACAAATTGCATTTCCATAAAACCTCAACGGCAATCAGCACAGTCCCCAAACACACGTTCCTCTGGCGTACGGCCGCTGAGATTTTTATCACACCTGCGTTTGCACTATTATATTAATTACATAATTTTTAAATTGAAAAAAAAAAAATGACCATTTGCTGCCAGGAAAGAAAACAGACAGAACGTTATCTAACAGGACTATCGGCCATTATTTGCTGCCAGCAGCGGACATGCATCCTTAAAACCTAAATATTTCAAATAACTAACCCCGAAAACTAAAAAGACAACCAAGCTAGATGTAGATAGACAGGCAGATCGACAGACAGGCAAACATACGTAAAAATGTTTATGAAAAATGAAATTTGAGAAGTTTTTTTGTTTTGAAAAAAAAATTGCATTTACTTTTAGAATATTGTCTAACTGCAGACATATTCCTACATATATTTAGTTTGGGTAAAGAGATTTAAACTAAAGCCAGTAATAAAATAGCAATAGACCAATACAGCAACAAAATGAAATACATTCATAGATATACATATGTATATGCAGTGATGACTGACTTAGGGGTAAATCTCCTTGATTTTGCACCCTGCAAAATAGGAGTTAAGGACTTATGGCCAACAGACATTTACAGAGATTTGCTTTTCGTTGTTGTTATTTTTGTTTGTTTGTTGTTCGTGGTGGTATTGTTGATAATCTCCGTGCCCACCACATGACGAACCAGCTACCAACCATATAACAAGGGAGGGAGTGTGAACGAGCTAGATTTCTGTGTGTTTGGGAGACTGTTATAAATTTGTCCATTTTTATTAACAGCGTCAAGGAAGATGGGATAAACAACAACAACAACAATGATTAAAAGCATTTAATTACAATCTAATTTCGCGCGCCACATAAACATATTTACACGGATTTCAAGCAAAAAAATAGAAAAGGGACGGCGCGAAATTGCATCGTGGCATGACATTATCCCATTTAGTACTCTTGACGATGATGGCAAACGTTTGCCTTTTGTATTAAAGCTCTTACGTGTTACATCAATGCTACATATTTATTCTGGGTGATGATTTGTAAAATGCTTGTGTGTGTGTGTGCGGAATATGAATGAAAACAACATAACGGCAAAATCCATGTTACATTTGAAAACGGGACAGAACATGGATGACAGACATGCCAACAGCTACGACCATATCGGGGAATAGGGAGAATCAGAAATATGTATATACAATTGTTATAATCTCATCTATCAAAAGGGATTAAATGCTTGCATACAAATGGTATGTATAGAAATGCATATGTTTGTAGGAATATGTAAGTTTGAAGAGAGAACCATATGTTCATACCAATCTACAGAAGCTGTTCACTCGTGGAACTGTTTTAAAAAATGTCGTTTTGGTGTTTTGGTGCATTTTTTTTTCTTATAGCGAAAAACGATTTTATGAAAATATTGAAGATAAAAAGAAGAGTACATAATTTGTGGGGTCTAAAATGAATATTTCGAGGTGTTACAAACGGAATGACAAACTTAATCTACCCTCCATACTAAGGTGGGGGGTATACAAATTCGGTGAATAATGTAGCTAATCTCATCAAAATACCGAATAAAGGGAGGTACTGTTGTATGGGGGCTATATGAAGACGTAGACCTACACAGACAATTTTCTGTCATAGGCTGTAGTATCCATTCGAACTTCAAATACCAAATTTGAAGCAATTCCGGGGAATAATGTCGCTTAAATCACCAAAATACCGAATATCAGGAGGTACCGTTATATGAGGGCTCTACGAAGACGTGAACCTACTCACACAACTTTCTGTCATAGGCTGTAGTATCTATTACGAACTTCAAATAACAAATTTGAAACGATTC